CCACCCCCCCCCCCCCCGCCAGTGCACAAATTTTTGTGCACCGGGCCTCTAGTATTGGTTATATTAGTTTCTGTACAATATAGTGATTCGACATTTTTATACCTTACAATGTGATCACTCCACTAACTCTAGTAATCATTTGTCACTGTGCAAACTTATCACAATATTGTTGACTATATTCCCCTCCCCCTTTTCCCCCATCCACCTAACCCATCCCTTTTGGTAATCATCTCTTTGGTCTCTGTTTCTATGAATCTATTTTTGTTTTATTTATTTGTTTTGTTTTTAGATTCTACATATAAGTGAAACCATATGGTATTTGTATTTCTCTGTCTGGCTTATTTCACTTAGCCTAATAGCCTCTATCAGTGATGGCGAACCTTTTGAGCTCGGCGTGTCAGCATTTTGAAAAACCCTAACTTAACTCTGGTGCCGTGTCACATATAGAAATTTTTGGATATTTGCAACCATAGTAAAACAAAGATTTATATTTTTGATATTTATTTTATATATTTAAATGCCATTTAACAAAGAAAAATCAACCCAAAAAATGAGTTCGCGTGTCACCTCTGACACGCGTGTAATAGGTTCGCCATCACTGCTCTAGATCCATCCATGTTGTCACAGATGGAAAGATTTTATTCTTTTTTATTGCTGCATAATATTTCTGTGGTGTGTGTGTGTGTGTGTGTGTGTGTGTGTATGTACCACATCCTTATCCATTCATCTATTGATGGACACCTAGGTTGCTTCCATATCTTGGCTGTCGTAAATATGCAGTGAACATATGGGTGTTCATTGAATTAGTGTTCTCATTTTCTTTGGGGAAGTACTCATAAGTGGAATTGCTGGGTTGTATGGTATATCTGTTATCAACCTTGTATATATCTCTCAAAATAATACCCAATTTTAAATATTTCCCAAAGCAATATCCTATCTGTTCTTTTCTTCTTTCTCAGAAAAAAAACCCTTACTCTGTGTGTGCATACATGTGTGTGTGTGTGTGTGTGTGCACATGCACTCATAGATACATATTTTAAAACTGCCATAAGAACTAGAATTCAGTTAGCAATAGTGGAATCTTAGCTCACTGTGCATCAAAATATTTCTTGAACTGAATTTGTTAAGGGGAGCCCAGGAGCTACTTTATGAATATGATCAAGATTCTTTTATATATAGAATTAGGGCCATGAGTTGGTCTGTTAAAGAGCATTTTTTTTTAGGGAAAGAAGGTATCTTTTTCTTGAGTTTCTTTATTCTTAAATGAATATCACCAATTATTTGTGGGCTGTTGACTGTGGCAAGGACTCTTTTGTGACTTCCCTGTTTCTGAACGTATTTGTGGTTTCTGTACCATAGATATGAGACATTCCGCATAGAACAGCGAGTTAAACTTGACGTCATTGACCACCCAGATGAGGGCAGCACACAAAACTGCCCGATCCTTTGGGTACAGCTGGGAGCCACACCCCGAGATGCTTTTCTCTTGCCAAATTTACAATTTCCTAATATCCTTATCTTTCTTCAAAACACATGTCTTTTGCAGCCTTCAGACCCCACCATTCTCTGAGAAGACGGTTAATTAGTGCCCATGTAAGTGATAGAAGCAGCTTAGCCATTCCTCCCACCGTCTCCACTGACCACATGCCGGGTGGACCACACTTTGGGCTCAAAGGCCTTAGTAGGGCTGGATGAATAAGAAGATTCACCCCATCCTACCCCTACCCTCACTGCCACGATCGTGCCCTTTGGACTATTTGAGGGGGGAAAAGTATACAAACATGGACATTCTTTACATCTACAAAAGCCTACCATTTGCTAGGAAGACATTAGCTTTGTAAGAATGGTGTTAGATTGCTGGCTTCCGATTCCTGTCAGGAGCCTTGCCAATACGTGTGTCTGTGTGTGTCAGGAGCCTTGCCAATACGTGTGTCTGTGTGTGCACGTGTTCAGATAAAGTAGTTAGGAAGTTACTTTCTGTCACCCCCCCCTTGTTTTGACTCTCTGCTTAGCACTTACTTTTCTGTCTGCTCACTCCTTGTTTGCTACTTGTTCCTTTCTTGTCTCTCTCCTTTGGAATATTCATTCCATGAGAACAAAGACCTCGTTGTCTACTCACCACCAAATCCCTCACGTCAGCAGCCATGCCGGGCACATAGGGAACATTTGTTGAATAAATGATCCCAGAGACTTATCTCTCCTCATTTTTAAACACAGCACTTTAACTGGTCTGAGGTTAATCCAATAGCTCATTAAATAAAAGGACTTGTGCATAGAAAACTGAAGAGGGCAAATCCATTTGAATTAAGATCTATTTCTTGATTTCACTATGAGTAACTGAACCTCAGTTTGGAGGATGTTTTAGCTGTTGATTGGAAAGCAGCTTGGATCTTCCCCCTTCACACTAACCAGTTGATTTATTAATTTTGCAGACATGCCGAAAGTCAGCAAAAGCACATGGCAGAGAAAATGCCTGCGAAGTGAAGAGGAGCCATCCCATCTGTGGTTGTAAAAATGCTGTTGCGCAAGGTGGCGCAGAAACAAACAAACATCAGTGTTAGTCATTGATAATGTCTGAAGCTTCATGTCCAGTGATTGGCCTTTGCTTCTTTTTCTTTCTTTTTTTCCCCACATTTTACCAGATGAATTTAATTGACATTTTCGGAGCATTACACCCCAAAACTGCAGGGCACACGTTCCCCTCAACTCACATGGAACACCCTCTAGGACAGACCACATATTAAGCCACAAAACAAGCTTAAATGAACTTAAAAAGATTTAAATCATTCCACCCACCTCCCACCCCACCCCCAGCCACAATGGCATGAAAGTAGAAATCAATTTAAAAAAAACACACCTGAAAAACACATAAACACATGGAGGCTAAATAACACGCTACCAAACAGTGAATGGGCTAACAATGAGACCAAGGAAGAAATCAAAAGATACCTTGATCCCTGGCTGGTGTGGCTCAGTTAGTTGAGTGCCATCCGGTTCAATTCCGGGTCAGGGCACATGCCCAGGTTGTGGGCTCAATCCCCAGTAGGAGGCGTGCAGGAGGCAGCCAATCGATGTTTCTCTCTCATATTGATGTTTCTCTCTCTTTCTCTCTTCCTCTCCTTCCTCTCTCTCTAAAATCAATAAAAACATTTTTTTAAAAAAAGATACCTCAGGACAAGTAAAATAAGAACACAACCCCAAATCCATAAGACACAGGGAAAGCAGTCCCAAGAGGGAAAGCAGCAACAACACAGGCCCACCTCAAGAAACAAGGAAGTCTCAAACCAGCAATGGAACCTTTCACCAGAAGGCAGGTTTTGAATGAGCCCATTGGATTATTTTAAAATGTGTACCATGATCGTCATTGGATTGATTGATTGTTGTTATGGAAGTATTCTTTTTTTTTTTAGTGAGTAAAGTTCACCAAACATAAAAACTATTTTAAAATGAAAAATCCAGTAGCATTTGATACATTTATAATGTTGTGTGATGATCACTTCTATCTAGTCCCAAAACATTTCATCACACCAAAAGGCAACCACATACCCATGAAATGGTCACTCCCCATGCCCCCTACCACAGTCACTGTCAGCCACTTGTCTGATTGCTGTCTCTATGGATTCGCTTATTCTGGAAATTTCATATAAAAGGAATCACACAATAGAAAAGACAAGTTTTCCCTTAAAAACCATGGTGCTGGTCCAAATGCAGTGGGCATCGATGGCAACACTGCTCTCCACTAAAATTGAATGATAGGCAGACCCCTACTAAAATTGAAGAGTAAGTGGTACACAAAATTCAGAGAAGGAAAATCAATTTCACAAGAGAGCACTTCATCTTGAAGTCTTCATCATCTGATGTAGGCCAGGAGTTGATTAATTCCAGGTTTGCTGAAAGCCCAGAAACAGCGTCCACAAGCTGGAGTTTTGTGCAGCCTGTTCTGATCCTTAGTCTCCAGAACTCTCATTCGCTGTTCTTGAAATTGTTTTTCCTGATACTTGGATAGATTCCTGTAGACCAAGATTGCTACTTTCAGAACACTTTTTAGGTCTTCTTCATTCTAAGTTAGTTGGTCATTGCTTTCCATCTGATCGACTTTTGTGCCTCTATTTAATAAAAATTCCACCATTTGCTCTTTGCTTTCCTTTAGAGTAAGTGAAAGTGGTCCGAGGTCATCCTCGTGTCTTTCTTCCATATTTGCCTTGTATGAAAGCAGCTGTGCTACTATAGCCGTATTTTGTCCAGTGGCAGCACAGTGGAGAGCAGTGTTGCCGTCGATGCCCACTGCATTTGGACCAGCACCATGGTCTAACAGAATAGTTGCCCAGTCCTCTTCCTGGCATTGTATGGCCTTAATCAGAGCTGTTCTGTTTTCATTGTTACAGGGGTGCAACAGGCATTTTCTGTCTGCTAGGAGGGAGAGTAGCCATTCCCAGATGGCCATTGGCGCAGGCCAGATGTAGAGCAGCCCTGTTCTTCTTGTCTCTATCATTCAAGCCACTTCACCTGAACAAGACAATTTTTCACTCCATACGTTGCCCAGGCCAGCAGTTTTGTGAACAGGCATTTTCTGTTGGCTAGGAGGAAGAGTGGCCACTCCCAGATGGCCATTGGCGCAGGCCAGACCTAGAGCAGTCTTTTTCTTCTTATCTCTATCATTCAAGCCACTTCACCTGAACAAGACAATTTTTCACTTCATACGTTGCCCAGGCCAGCAGTTTTGTGAACAGGCATTTTCTGTCTGCTAGGAGGGAGAGTGACCATTTCCAGATGGCCATTGGCACAGGCCGGATGTAGAGCAGCCCTGTTCTTCTTGTCTCTATCATTCAAGCCACTTCACCTGAACAAGACAATTTTTCACTTCATACGTTGCCCAGGCCAGCAGTTTTGTGAACAGGCATTTTCTGTCTGCTAGGAGGGAGAGTGACCATTTCCAGATGGCCATTGGCACAGGCCGGATGTAGAGCAGCCCTGTTCTTCTTGTCTCTATCATTCAAGCCACTTCACCTGAACAAGACAATTTTTCACTTCATACGTTGCCCAGGCCAGCAGTTTTGTGAACAGGCATTTTCTGTCTGCTAGGAGGGAGAGTGACCATTTCCAGATGGCCATTGGCACAGGCCGGATGTAGAGCAGCCCTGTTCTTCTTGTCTCTATCATTCAAGCCACTTCACCTGAACAAGACAATTTTTCACTTCATACGTTGCCCAGGCCAGCAGTTTTGTGAACAGGCATTTTCTGTCTGCTAGGAGGGAGAGTGACCATTTCCAGATGGCCATTGGCACAGGCCGGATGTAGAGCAGCCCTGTTCTTCTTGTCTCTATCATTCAAGCCACTTCACCTGAACAAGACAATTTTTCACTTCATACGTTGCCCAGGCCAGCAGTTTTGTGAACAGGCATTTTCTGTCTGCTAGGAGGGAGAGTGACCATTTCCAGATGGCCATTGGCACAGGCCGGATGTAGAGCAGCCCTGTTCTTCTTGTCTCTATCATTCAAGCCACTTCACCTGAACAAGACAATTTTTCACTTCATACGTTGCCCAGGCCAGCAGTTTTGTGAACAGGCATTTTCTGTCTGCTAGGAGGGAGAGTGACCATTTCCAGATGGCCATTGGCACAGGCCGGATGTAGAGCAGCCCTGTTCTTCTTGTCTCTATCATTCAAGCCACTTCACCTGAACAAGACAATTTTTCACTTCATACGTTGCCCAGGCCAGCAGTTTTGTGAACAGGCATTTTCTGTCTGCTAGGAGGGAGAGTGACCATTTCCAGATGGCCATTGGCACAGGCCGGATGTAGAGCAGCCCTGTTCTTCTTGTCTCTATCATTCAAGCCACTTCACCTGAACAAGACAATTTTTCACTTCATACGTTGCCCAGGCCAGCAGTTTTGTGAACAGGCATTTTCTGTCTGCTAGGAGGGAGAGTGACCATTTCCAGATGGCCATTGGCACAGGCCAGACCTACAGCAGTCCTTTTTTTCTTACCTCTATCATTCAAGCCACTTCACCTGAACAAGAGAATTTTTCACTTTCCATATGTTGCCTGGGCCGGCAGCTTTGTGGATCTTTCCCAGATCTTTGTCTGGAATGTGGTAGCGTGCCCTCTGTCTCCCACGCCACTCCTCCCGGGCTGGCGGAGGAGCCCAAGGGCAACACGTCCAGCCTCCTCCGAAAGGTAAACCTCTCTTTCACGCGAGAGCCCACGAGCTTCAGAGAAGCCTCGCCTTCTCTCCGCTTTTCTCGCCTCCTGAGCCCAGTACTCTCTCTAGATAAGCCGACCACCTCACGCCACAGCATTCAAGCAGGGCAGTTTCCTGGCCTTTGCTTCTTAATTTATTTTAATTTTTTTTACTGTGCCACTAAATATCAGGCATTTTAATAAAATATTGTTACAGAAATGTACAGTGCTTACACCATCACAAAATCCAAAAGGGTAGTTTTTATTTTTATTTGTTTAGAGATTTTCAGTTGAAGCAGTATTTTACCATTGACTACTTTCATTCTTCACTGTAGTTTTAAAGAACTGTAAATGACGGTGCTATACAAGTCAAAAATACATGCCTGCCTCGTAGTGAAGTTGTAGCTCTCCGTAATATGTATATTTGAATCAGTTTTCAACATTTTGTGAATGTTGACTACCTGAAGTTCAGTTTTAGATGTGCTATTAACATTCTGTTGGATTCAGAGGGTTCCTTGAAAGTTTTATGTATAAATATGTAAAATAAAAATTAAAACTTTGTTTCATATGATATGTCTTTTTGCTCACTAGCAAGCCCTACCCTGGTTATATTTATTCCCTTTTCACTCTTCCTCAACCATATTCTCCACTAGGAATTTTTTTGTGGTTTTAACCACTTCTATTGGTCTCATGAAGAAAATTGCCAAGTCTAAAGAAGTAGGTTACAGGTTATTGTATCAGTGAACAAACGAAGTGCTCTCCAGAGGACAAGCAATACAGTGATTTGCCAACAAGATGGGGAAGAGTGTGTGTGTGGTGGGGGCGGGTGGGGCGCTGTTTAAGAGTATGTGAGGGTATGTGTGAATGAGTGTGTGTGTGAATGAGTGTAAGTGTATGTTTGTGAGGGTATGTTTGAATCAGAATGTATGTGTGTGTGTGACAACATCCAAGCTGGTGCTTCTGTTACTGCTCAGAGTTACCAATCTGGAATTCTAGCACTGCACCATTTCACAGCTGCTCGTCTTGTTAGAGCCCATGACTGCATCAAAACTCCTTTTACCAAATTTGCCACATGAATACACAGTGCTTGCACTCATGCTTTTCTTCAGGCCAGCTGTGGCCATCTTTCCAATTTTAATCACTTCCACTGGTCTCATGAAGAAAAATGCCAAGTCTAGCCCAGCATGGCTCAGTGGTTGAGCATTGTCCTATGAACCAGAAAGTCACGGTTCAGTTCCTGGTCGGGCACATATCTGGGTTGCAGGCTCAATCCCCAATGTGCGGTCTGTAGGAGGCAGCTGGTCAATGATTCTCATTGATGTTTCTATCTCTCCCTCTTCATTTCTGAAATTAATAAAAATATATTTTTTAAAAAAGAAAAATGCCAAGTCTAAAGAGTATTCTCCAATAAGTAGAGAACTTCAGAAAATCAAAATGATTAGCTAGCATCCATGTAGGTGTTAGGGAACCATAAACTAAAGCAGAGGTAAACAATCAACATTCCAGAACCACCCACAGACCACCTGGTTTCACTCGAAGGTCTATGATGTAACCTGAAAATAGAAGTTTAGACAACTGTCTACACTTTCCTTTCTTAAAAATATCCAGCTAGATAGTGCCCTCAATGGTCCTGGATCTGTCTCTTGCTTCAACAGTGTTTGCATGGAATAGACCACAGGGACCGCCCCTTCTTCCAGCATCTTAGTCACCACCTTCAGAACCACCTCGGAGACCAGCCAATAAAATGTTTTTTTCCTATCTTAGCTCCTTATTGCCGAACAACCATAAGCTCCCAAATTCATCAGAATTA